TATAGAGAAAGAAGTTGTATTTCGGAGGTGGTAATTCTGGAAAATTCTTCTTCCCATCTCACCTTAACCTTGTGCAACTTTTTCACCACAGAGAATCCAAAAATAGTGGTGTTTGTCGTCAGGGTATGGGAAGATAATAATCAAAGTTACAACATAAACAATACAATGTAAATGGAGAAAGAGCTGTACACACCTCTTCATACCTCCCATTGACCTCTGTCTGATACTTCACTATTCCCAATGTGCTCTTTATTCTTCCCTGCCCCATCCACATTGCTTTGCGGGCCAAAAAAATGCTGTTTAAACTGGTGTTTGTCTGTTGCCTTGGTATGCCCACAACTCATCTTTACTTGATCATCTTTACTTTACTCCTGGCCAAACTCCAGCAGAAGAAGGAAGTGTACAGAATGTGGCAAAGGGGACAGGCCACTTGGGAGGAATACAGGGACGTTGTCAGAGCGTGCAGGGATGCGACAAGGAAGGCTAAGGCCCAGTTGGAATTAAATCTGGCAAGGGATGTCAAGGACAACAAGAAGGCCTTCTTCAAATACATCAATAGCAAAAGGAAGACTAGGGAAAACGTGGGCCCGCTGCTGAAAGGGGCGGGTGCCCTGGTGACAAAGGATACAGAGAAGGCAGAGTTATTGAATGCCTTCTTTGCTTCTGTCTTCACTGCTAAGGCCAGTTCTGAGGAATTCCAGACCTTGGAGACAAGAGAGGAAGTCTGGAGAAAGGAAGACTCTCCCTTGGTTGAGGAGGATCGGGTTAGAGATCTTTTGTCCAAACTTGACATCCACAAATCCATGGGCCCCGATGGGATGCACCCACGAGTGCGGAGGGAGCTGGCGGATGTTATCGCTAGGCCTCTCTCCATCATCTTTGAAAGGTCCTGGAGATCAGGAGAGGTGCCTGAGGACTGGAAGAAAGCCAATGTCACGCCAGTCTTCAAAAAGGGCAAGAAGGAGGAGCCAGGAAACTACAGGCCTGTCAGCCTCACCTCCATCCCGGGAAAGGTGATGGAACAGCTCATCCTGGAGGTCATCACTAAGCATCTGGAGGACAAGAAGGTGATCAGGAGTAGTCAGCATGGATTCACCAAAGGGAAATCATGCTTGACCAATCTGATAGCCTTCTATGACAGAATGACTGGCTGGGTAGATGAGGGCAGAGCAGTGGATGTTGTCTTTCTGGACTTCAGCAAGGCTTTTGACACTGTCTCCCATCACATCCTCCTAGGTAAGCTCAGGAAGTGTGGGCTAGATGAGTGGACGGTGAGGTGGCTTGAGAACTGGCTGGATGGCCGAGCTCAGAGGGTTGTGGTGAATGGCGCAGAGTCAAGTTGGAGGCCTGTGGCTAGTGGTGTCCCCCAGGGGTCAGTCCTGGGCCCAGTCTTGTTCAATATATTCATCAATGACCTGGAGGAAGGGACAGAGTGCACCCTCAGCAAGTTGGCTGATGATACTAAACTGGGGGGAGAGGCTAACACACCAGAAGACTGTGCTGCCATTCAGAGGGACCTGGACAGGCTGGAGAGGTGGGCGGAGAGGAACCTCATGAAGTTCAACAAAGGCAAGTGCAAGGTCCTGCACCTAGGCAGGAATAATCCCATGCACCAGTACAGGCTGGGGACTGACCTGTTGGAAAGTAGCTCTGCCGAGAAGGACCTGGGAGTGCTGGTGGACAACAAGTTAAACATGAGCCAGCAGTGTGCCCTTGTGGCCAAGAAGGCCAATGGGATCCTAGGGTGCATTAGGCAGAGTGTTGCCAGCAGGTCGAGGGAGGTGATCCTGCCCCTCTATTCAGCCCTGGTGAGGCCTCACCTGGAGTACTGTGTCCAGTTCTGGGCTCCCCAGTACAAGAGAGACATGGCACTCCTGGAGAGAGTCCAGCGGAGGGCTACCAAGATGATTAGAGGGCTGGAGCACCTCTCCTCTGAAGAAAGACTGCAAGAGCTGGGCCTGTTCAGCCTGGAGAAGAGAAGATTGAGAGGGGATCTCATCAACGTGTACAAGTATCGGAAGGGGGAGTGTCAAGAGGATGAGGCCAGCCTCTTCTCCGTGGTGCCCAGCAACAGGACAAGAGGCAATGGGCAGAAACTGAACCACAGGAAGTTCCATCTGAACCTGAGAAAAAACTTCTTCACTGTGAGGGTGACAGAGCATTGGAACAGGTTGCCCAGAGGGGTGGTGGAGTCTCCTTCGCTGGAGATATTCAAAACCCGTCTGGATGTGATCCTGGGCAATATGCTCTAGGTGACCCTGCTTGAGCAGGGAGGTTGGACTAGATGATCTCCAGAGGTCCCTTCCAACCTAAACGATTCTGTGATTCTGTGATTCTGTGATCTTTCTCACTGCATCAGTTTGTGCTCTACTGAGAAATCACTCACTGTAGCAGTCCTACACACTAGCTACCAATATTTCTAGAGTTCCCACAACTTTATTAGAAGTTATTTATAACAGCAATTGGTGCATCAACAATATGACCAATACTACTAATAAAATAGCAACAAAGTCAAATAAATAATTAAATAAACCAACTATTTTGCATGAGACAGAATATTTTTGAATGAAATACATATTCACATGATTGTAAAATATTCCAAAAAAGAAACCTAATCTTATGGCCATAGGTTGCCAAGTGCATTTGCTAAATCTAATCTTTCAGTTAGATACTAACTGAAAATAAGAATAGAATTCACATGATAAGAATTACAAACTTCTATCAGGACGATACGCAAGGAGAATATCAGAGGTAAGCAAAGCTTATAAAATCAAATGCACAAAGCTTAAAGTCCGTTTCCTACACTATACATATAGGTTTGTTTTTAATCTAAGCTCAGCGCAGTTGGATTTCCCAAGCAATTTTAATCATGCTATTCCTTATAACCAGTCATTAAGAGAAAAATGCTGTGCTTCTACTCCTTTAATAAATACACTTTGTTTTTAAAAAATTTGCTATCTGGTTAAAAGGCCAAATCAAGCATAAATTAAAAAAACAACAAAATCTACAAAATTTTGAAACATGAATACGGTTTAAGGATTATCTTCCACCATCTTCTAACTATCCAAGTAATCACTTGAGGTTATTGCAGATTTTCTGTCTCAAAAGAAATAAAGGAAATTTTAGAGTAAATATATATTAGTTGTTTTTCATTCCCTTCTGCTATTGTCTTTAGCAACCACAATCTTATGGACTTTGTATATTAAGAGAATTTCATTTTGAGGACTAAAATCTTCTGTTTATCTACCCACTAATCCAACAGCAGAAAAGGTTCTTCCTAGTCTTCCTTTTTGTTAGGTATCCTTCCATTCAAATTCTACTCCCTGTAAAACCAAATCCTGCTAATGCGTTCCGGTTTGTGACTCAACTCCCACCAACTTTCTGCCCAAACACAGCAACAACAAACACCCCGTTATTAAAAATCTCAATCTCACAGTTTACATTTTTTCTTCTCAACACTTTACAATATTTTGATCTTCATTTTAAGAGTTGCTATTCAGTTATTTACAGGTAGACTGGAACATTTACTTTGCTTGCATCTATTTTTGCTGAAAATAAAACAATCTTTTTTGTCAAATCTCAAATGGGTGAGTCCCTAGGTATTGCTCACCCTTCCTCTAAGTAAAACATATAAATATTTGTCAGTTATACAGTTAGCGTAATTAAGCCCAAAGTCATCAGACATTCTAGCTAGCTGGTTAACTGTAGAGAAAAGATAGAAATTGAGCTAATTTGCTTGATAACAATATAAGCACTTGCTACCTATCAGTCAAATATTCCTGTATCTTCTGTGGCCCTGGTCCTGAGGAAAAAAAAAGGTACATAACATATACATAAAGTTTGTTCAAATACTGACTACAGAAAACAGTTTTTATATTTGATTCTTTCTCCTGAAAGTGTATAAATTAGTGGGTTTTTTTTTTAAAGAATACAGCAAGAATATGCCTTACTGCATTAAAATCAGTGACATCTGATTGTGTAACGCTGAAAAAAAATAACAAGGAGACTTGGCTTTTGCTTGTCTACAGTTCCAAGAAAGGTGCTACATACTGCATTTCTTTTATGAATCTCAGTTTTTCCTATTAGAGTGTACTGAAACTAAAAACAATTACAAAAAACCATTTTGTACTACTTCCTGGGGTTGGCCCTATACATTGGGATCTGTAAAACCTAGATATAGAAATAAAGCGACTGGGCTGAACAAAGAGATTGCTAGTCCATATCTGACGCTTGACTTGACTTGAAACGTCTCCAAGAAAGAGACAAAGGACATGTGTGCCACAGGCTAATATGAGCCTTTGCTGCTGTCACTCATTTTCTTCTGGTCTTCCTTAATTTATTACTGACAGACATGAACTATAATGAGTTATTCTTTCAGAGAAGAGTTTACAACTTTCTGTAGAATTAGGGTTGTTGTGTAAAACATGTCAGTACTGAGTATTCACGGTATTTTTTTACTTTCCTTAGGTGAAGCTGCAAGATGTTAGAAGTAAAAATCATATAATTGATGTGATACAGCATTGTAAGCTATTCAGGCCAAGGTTGGCCTATCTTCTTGACCCTAAATGCTATGTATGGATACCTTCATATGCCATGTGGCACATTTCTGAAAGCTGAAGGGCCCTGTCGCTCAGGGGACAGTTCACAGACAAATAGCAAGTTTTCCCCCATCCCACCACTCAACCTTCAATAGGGCTGGACTGAGTATTCAGCTGGGTCCCAGGCTGACAGAGTAACATCTACCTTAATTGTCACTGCTCACTTGCTTCCTCCCCAGCTGAGGAGTCAGTGTACTGAGCAGCCTCTGTGTCATGGTGGTGTTGCAGCCAGTCATGGGATGTAGCACTGACATGGGAGCCACAGTTGAACTGCTTGCGAGCCACACGTGGCTACAATTATAAAGGTTTTTCACAGCAAATGTAAATGCAAAAATATCGTTTACTACTAATATGCACACAAAATCTGAACACACCGCAGAAGCACATGTGATTACAACTTACCACATTTTTATTGTGGGTGGCAAAGACAATTCTTCAGGAAGGAAAAAACTGTGACATTTTATGGACTGAAACAGTTCTGAGGACATTGTTTTAGAAACATCATAATAATGGCCAAACCTTGCAGATGTTGTTGGGCTAACCTGTGGAAACAGCAATAATGATTACAGTAACTTCTTAAATGATTATTTGTCATAAGAAGAAAATTAACTAGCAACACACCTAACAGAAATATCTCTTTTTTTATATTCAGCATAAGTATAAGCTTTAAGTAGACCAAGAATATAAAATTTGTTACTACTAAGTTCTGGCTCCACAGCTGACATTCTATATTGTGATTTTTTCACACAAAATTCAATTCTTACTGCTCCAGGTTGCATCACCAAGACAGATACTTAAAAGAATATTTTTCTGCAAATACTCTAGGCATATGAACATAATTTCAGACAGAAAGATACATGAAATGTGCAGACCCTAAAGCGTTTGCTTTAGCTATGAGATTTTTCAGTATCTCTAACGGATATATAGAGAGCTGCCAAGACATTTTATAGTTGACTTTTGAAATGTTTTCACTGTATTTACTTATTATCAGTAAGAAAAAATAGCGTTGCACCTTAAAATTAGAATTTATTTAAATACGTATAGAAAATAGTAAGAAAAAGGAGAGTCAAAACTACTTTTAACTTCTTGAATTTCTAATAGCTATCAGATGGAGCGCTACAAGGACATTACACACAATAACCATGCTTTCCTATGATAAAGATATTTATTTTAACAAAGGTATCTGCTCTTAATTTTGGGCGTGTAAAATTTTACCAAAAAAATGTAATAAACACTAAAGTGGCAATTACGCATTTTGAACGTGCTTTGCTGGTAAATAAACAGAGAAAGAATTTCTGCATATTTTTATTCTACTTTAAAGCAAGCAACCTGCCACATTATTTCATACAAATTCAATATTAAAAAGACCCTAGATTGTTTTATTATGCAGTATGTAGTAGCTCTCTTCTTCACATAAAACAAACAGGAAGTGAACAGGTTTTGCTCTTCATATAACAGTCCCTTTTGTTCATCTCTTCTGCCCTTCCCATAAAAAAAAAATTATCCTGGACAGACTAGTGAGGCAGAGTCAACATCAGAGGCAAGTCAGCTTCTTCCTGGGAAAGAAACAACTTAGCACAAATATAAAACACTATATACTATTCTTTAATAGTATAAGAAAAGAAGAAGAGATGACAAACACCACTGTGCCTCTGTGCAGATTATCTCTCACTACTGTTCCAACTCTTTGAAGGAAAAGGAAAGGTAATTTAGAATAACCAACCAACTTTCATGATACAAGTATCAATCAAAACTACACTGTTTCTCAATGGTAAGAGGCCTGGATTGAGAAAGTTGCCAAACCGGGTATTTCACAGAAGCTTTGCAGGTCAAAAGAAAGACCATCTGCTAGTTTACCTTCAGGACAACTACCTAAAGTCTGGACTGCATTTGAAGTATGTATTGTATACTTCAGGAACATGCAAAAAAAAAATCTTTAAGTCATTTTTGTTTCTCCCACTTCCAAGACTTACTGCTGGGCTAAATCCCTCACAACAGCCAGGAGCCACCTTGTATCTGAAATGCTAAAGCTTTAAAATAAAATGATAGTTGTGGAAAAACAAAAAAAACAGATGAGAGAGAAAAGGTAAGAGCTGAAGAGGTATTAAGAGAGATGTTAGACATGTCCACATGCAGAATGGAAAGCCTTTTGGAGGTAGTTTGGAACAGGTAGGGAGAGCAGTGGAGGAAGGAGAGAGGAAAGGAGACTGCAGCTTACCTTCTTTCAGCAACACTTTGTGTAGTGTGAATGCTCCCAGTCATGTCTATTATTTGTTGCTGTAAGGTTATATGGTGCCCTCCTTTCACTTCAAGACTCTGCTTGGCCCTGATAACTGCATAGCATGAGTACCACAAGCAGGACAGCCATATTATGGCATATTATGCCAAAGAGAGTGTTGCATTAAGTTGGCCATAATGTTTCTAGCATCCTATCTACCCCATATAGATGTAGCTCTGGTAGCTGTGTGGATAAGAACTTGGCTGCCAATTCCTGCTCAGAGGCAAGATGATGCACATAAAGCCCAAGAGTAATTAAAAAACTCTGCGCTTTCTTTTAAGTAATGCATATGTCACAGAGCTAGTTAATTACCATAGCAAATATTTCCCCTTAAAACTCTCTCTTTGGAAAAATATGCATTTGGTAATGCAATTTTTGTATAAAAGAATTAAATATTTTCTTTAGAGCCACCCTCCCTCTGAATTTACCTTCCTTCATAACCAAAAATACGACCTTAGCACTATCATTGACAAATTCACTTTTCCTCTGTCCTAGCAACAAGCTCCCAACTCAAAAGACTTCCAGAAGTGATTGGCAGGCCATCAGTTTCACATCTGTGAAAAGCGTACTAGCTCTATGCTTAATGGCTTCATCAGAGAGTAGAATCTTGCTAGAAGAGATCCAGGACTTTTCTCTTCCTCTTGTGGATTCTTTGTAATTTCCTCTCTCTGCGTACACGCTAAATCCACAGGAAGGTTACTAGCTATCAGCAAAACGGCCATGATTCAGTTCAGTCCAGCCCTCAAATCAAACTACTAGGCTCCCAAGGATGGCAACAGAACCAACTCCTCCTACTTGAGCAGCTCACTCTTTAAAGCTATGCTCAATTTCTAAAACTATGTCTCTGCACATTTTACAAAATACACATGCACAGGCACTCTCCCCCACACCTACTTTCCTGTTCACTGAGTACTTCTTTTTTTAAATAAGGAAAGTATCTGATACAAAACAACTCTAATCTTATCTTTTAAGCATAGTATTACTGCCATAGTATTACTGCTGTGCAACACTTCACTCAATTTTGAAATCGCATCACTGTCTATGACGAATGGAAAAATATGACTGCAAAACCAGAAAAGCTCTAATTTCTTAGGTAAAATGAAATGGTATTTTGTTTGTACTTAAAAGTACAGAATTACTCTTGAAAAATGACGAGAATTACCCCAATATTTTTGAAAGCTTTGCAGTAGCTTCTAGAACAACTCATAACACTTTATAAAAAGGATTTTCTTTTAAACAGGCCAATACACAAATTTTATTAGCCATCTGAAAATTGAGTGGGGTCATGTGCATGCAATGAAAAATTCTTTAGATCTACTTTTGTTCCTACTCTGTTTTTTATTATTACAATAATGGGATCTTGGTAATAATTATTTGTTGTGTGTTGGCCAGGAAATTATTTAGTCCTCACTCCAACTATTACATGAAGCTTGTGGTTTTCATAAAACTTGTTTTTGTTAATAAAATGAGCGCTACAACAGTAAAAAGAAAGAACGCAGACATGCTAAACATGACAATGTATTTTTAGTTAGCTTCCCGAAAGCAGTCATGATACGTATTTCCACAATTTTAGTTCATGCTTCAGCTTACCAAAAATACATTAAACTGTTAAAATTAATTCAAATAATTTCAAAATTTTTGAAATTATTCTATTAGTGGATGTCAGGCCTGGCCAGTTATCAGAGAACAGAAGATATCTTTCCTGCAAAATCAGAAAAATGAGCAAACTGAAACCAAAGTTTTGGCTATTTTTAATACAAACCATTAATTTTTAATTAAAAAAGAAGTAAAAGTGCTCATGTACTTCTAGTCGTAAGAGGCAGATCCTTTTATTATAAAAAAGGAAAATGCATTCTCTAAATCTGTGCTTCAGTTTTTTCAGCAAGGGTATTTTACGTAAGGAAGTACAACAAAAAAAGCAACAACCTATCGAACTAAATTCTAAATTTTTTTTTAATGTAAAATGTAACTTTACTTAGAATAAGGATTCTGAAAGCAATTTAAACAGGGGCTGTTCTTTGGCCTATAATCTATTCTTTATCCGGATTACAGATCAGAATGTTTTTACTGCAATCTCTGCCAGAGCTCATCTTTTTATTGTGTACTTCCAAGCCCCCTTAATGTTTTAGAAAGGCCTTGACTAACTGAACTTTGATCTGATGTCTTCATTGAGAAAAGCTCCAGGTTGCCCATTTCAGATGCAAATCCTTACTGAGGCCCAATAGAGTTTAGTAAAGACAGCAAAAAAGAAGAAACAAGAAGTTTCCAGGATCCTCTTTGAGAATCCTGAGGCACATTGGTGTCCTTAATCCACCCTGCTGCATGGATTAAGGTAGGTGATAACCTCTCTTGATTCAAAAGAATAAGCACAGTGCCTACAAACTGGGTGGAGACTAGGATTTGGCTATAATAAAACACCATGCAATAAAAGCTCGGTCTATGTCAGAAGCCTATGAATAGGCCTCAATGTACTGCATTCCCAGGCTTAGTGGGGAAGCTTGCAAAAAGCCTACCTGAATCAAGTAAGCATGAATAATCTGCCTTAGCAGAATGACCATGGAGAGTGTGAAACAGAGACTTTCCATTCCTCTTAAGTTTGATCTGATAAATTTATCAGTGGATTGTAGGCTCAAGCCTGTTCTTTCTCGGATTCCTAGTTTGCACACAGAGAAATACACTATATTGTCAGTGAGCAGAGCATGCTTTTATGCTACCGTCTGCTGTTAATGTTTCTAATTGCAATACTAATGTGCTAGAAATCTCAGATTTAGGATGAATCAAGGCAGAAAATTGATTTCATGCTGTGACAGTTTATATATTGCCCCAAGAACATAAGCAGTTCATTCAAAAAAAAAGGAAAAAAAAGGGAAAAAAAGGAAAAATCAGGCTTACGTTGAAAAAAATTTATATTATCCGTATACTCAAAAGTTTAAATGAAATCAACCTCTGCTACAGATAAAAGTAACAAACTAGCAAAGGCACACCCAGCAAGTGTTATCCCGACAGATTTCTTATAAATCAGCTGTCCTTTTGTGATGTGCAAGGTATAGCCACATCTGTGAAGACAAACTGTGATAATCACGAAGAGTACTAATATAGAAATCATTCATAATAATACAAAAAATTAGCTCCCTAGCAGTTTATGTGAGATCTAATGAAAGGGAAAGGAATACCTTAACAATTAATGAAAATGACTTTAATTAATTACTTACAAATAAAAACTAAATTAGGCAACAAAAATACCGTCAAGACAACTTTTTCTCAGCATTGCTTGCTTCATATAAAGCCAGATATCGGACAGAAAAGTTTTTGCTAACATGTTGTTTAGAGTTCTAATCAGAAGTAAAGCTATTTTCTCTCTTTCATATTTGAAGATATCTGACAGCAGTTTCTAAAAACGTACTAGCTTATCAATTCCATAAGTTTGGAAAATATGCCTTGAATACTCAGTTTTACAGAACTATCTGCCAAAAGAAAATTCAAAAAATAAATCACAACTCAAGTTATCAAATAGAAGATACTACTAAGTGTATTAAATCATCCAAGGTGCTGCAAGGCTCCATCAGATATTACTCTTGATGGAGCATATTCTGCAAGCACATTAATTTAGCCGGCACCAAAATTTCTGATAGCTGCATTTCAAAATATTCAAAAATATTTTTCATTAGCTAGAATATTCTGAAGATTTTTTACGATGGCTTAACAATTAGAATTTTATTTGCAAATTTTAATTTCTTTGAAATTTAACGTACACGTAAAATATTGCACATCAAGTAGTAAGAATGATCATAATCTGATTCAGAAAGCTGCAATAATAACAAGGGAAACACCCCATAAAACATTGGTTGTTTTATTTTGTGATGCACCATCTAGTCTTAATAATCAAGGACAAGTCCATTACATATTGCAGAGAAACATTATGCTACTGGACAAAGTAATAGAGGATGAATGCACACCTAACTGGACTAGGTATGTGTTTTTCTATTTTGTTAGAACATCCAAACAGTATTTATTAATGACATGCAACTGTTTCTATGTCAATGTACTAGGAATTCTGTTAAGATTTAAAAAAAAGACAATTTATTTTTGGGATGGTTCAGAGTGGCACAGCAAGCTCCACAATAATAAAATTGATAAGATTATACGATTACCCTGGAGGCTGTTTGATTTGGCATGTCACCATATATAAGTCTTTTCTGACACAACTATATAGCCATGTCTGTGCAATTTCACAGAAAACCAAACATGCCAAGCCTTGTAAGATCATTTTGTCACATTCCAATTTCGTTATTTAAGAATATGGGTGAACTTACTAGGCACTTACGACTACATCTAAATCCAAATTTATAACAGATTTAAGCTAAAATGTACAGATGTAACAAGTTTTTTGTTCTGGAGAGTGAAAAAATGTTGCAACTTTATTAAAGGTTGACTGTGTCACTGGATTGAATCAGAAAGTAACCAGCCTACGGAGATATATTATTCACAAAACACTAACGGCTGTAAACTCTGAAAGACTGACCACTGGGCTTGTTCCTTGTACTCTCCCTTCACAGCGCTTAGTTTCTAGTGACAGTGAAGCTGATATAATCTCAAGTGCTTACTTTAGTTCTTATGCACATGGATAAGCAAGTCAACAGCTTGCTTCAATACAGTACTTTCACTAGAGATTTAAAAAGTATTATCAATTAAACCTACAAGTCGTTTTGTGTACAGCTAAATTGTGTACAGCTAAATTTGGACAAAGTTTGTAGGTGACAACATTATTCTTTTTTAAAAGCTGTCTGAAATCAATAATATTCATTGAAAAATCCTGAGGAATGTTAACTTTTTTTTTTTTTTTACTTTTAAATTATTACTGCCAATATTAAGTTTTACATTTTGTGTAAGTTTCTGTGTTCCTTACCTCTCTGTATCTCTAGTAATCAAGAAGTATATTGGTATATGACAATTTACCCTCAAGAGGCAATCCTGTCACACAGCAATTCTATTTTTTAGATTCTACTGAAATGCACTTGCTTTATAAATTCATTTTGCCAGAAAAATAATGAAATACTGAAGATTTACCTCCATTTTTGGTAAATTTTGGTAGCGCCAGGCTATTTTCATAGAATCCTGAAAATCTTCAGATGTAACAGCTGTTGCTTCTTCTCCCAATTCATTTCTGCAGTTATCATCAAGCAAAGGGGCTGGAAGTTCCTACAGATGGAAAGGGAAAAACTGACATCCATCTGCAGTAGAAATGACAATTAAGATTTTCATTCAAAGAAAATCTGCAAACTAATAGAATTATTTTAATATAGTAGATATGTGTAAAATTGTAACAACCCTTAATTAAAATAACAGTGATATGAAAGATTGAGTCCTACTAATACTGAGAGTGGAAAATACTACCTAATTATTATTATGGGAAAAATGGTCTGTATAATTGTAAGAGAATGCAGAATGGAAATATAACATTGTACAGTCTACTTCACATAAACATCCTGAACAGCAGCATCCATATTAGCTTTTTTAAAAAAATCTTTTTTTCAAAAGGTGAGCCCCTAAACAATTTCTGAGAATAGCTAAGTGCCCTGCATAATGAACTTAAGACTATTTGATAAGCTTTCTTTGGTAGCTTTTGTAAATCTTTTAGAAGGAGTCAATAGACCACCATAGTCTACAGACACAGGCTGAAAATGACTGTTACAAGACGGTTTGAATCTTATCTTCTGCTAACTATTAGGCATGGTATCTACTAATGACAGATAACTCACGAACACAAACAAAGGAGCAAAATAAAGGTACAGATATTTAATATTTTAATTGATAAAAGTTTCTAACACAAACAATTCTATCTTTAAAAACATGGCATTACACACAGGTAGATTTAACTGTTCTATGAGGACAGAATTATAGCTTTGACTCAGACCTGGATTAGGAACAATGTTTTACTACTTTCTGCTTTCCACCTCTGTTGCACTGCTGAAAAATAAACAGCACTGGGGAGATCTCAAGCACAGCATTCATTCTTCATGCACTGTGCTGCTACATTGCTGGAGGAACGAAATGCTGCCAAGTTTTCTGACCTGTCTTTATCAACCATCTGTGCAAGCTGGAAGGCACGGGAACTCTGTGCAGGCCTCCCCTTTAGCCGCTTGAAGGAGATCAAGACTTTCTTGAAAAACTAAGTTTTCATTAAGAAGGACTATTGGGAGAGATCCGAGATGAGGATTCAAAAACAAATAGAGCCGGCCACTATCTCTTTTACAAGATATTAGGTGTGAAGACATAAAAGAAACTGTGTTAGATGAAGATTCTCAAACCAAGCATGGGATACGCAGGAACATCCTGAATATTGGTAGAGTTGATAATGACCATAAAAATCTAAATGACTTTCAGGGCTTATATAGGCAGACATGGTAAAAAACAGATGCGCATGGAAAAAAGAGAACGAAAGTTTAAGTGACTCCATTTTGTCTTTAGGATTATGCTAATTCTGTTTAAAAGAATACAGGAGAGAAATCCAAAGATTAAAGTATTGCTATACTATGCGCGATTGAAATAAAATGTTGGCTGTATATAGTACAATATGCATTCCTATGAACAATATGCATATGCACATGAGCAAACTGAAAACACATGTTTTAATTTCAGGACAGTAGTTTCTTTCTCTCAATAGTTGGTCAGTACCAACTCTGAGATAAAAGGTAATGAAGGCTATGAAAACTTCTGTGTGATTAATTCTATAAAGTTGCAGAAATAAAACAATTTATCTACATGTTTCAGCAGAGGATGCTAACCTCACCTCTTAGTTTATTTATTTTCTTTTTAGCAAGTTATCTTCAAAAGCTGCATGGAGGCTCATGTCTTCCTCTTCAAATGTACAATTTCTTATTTTTAATTAAAGAAAATTAAAAAATGTAGTAATTTAAATAATCTGCCTTCTCAATTGAGAAATTCTCCTTAAATAATGAGTCGTAAGTTTAAAAAAAAAAGTTACAGTTGTTTCTTAATTAACTACCCTGTATTTCCAAGTATCTTGTGTAACTGTTGTTATCAGCAGAGTATGGGGTAACAATGAACTAAATATTAAACTCATGATCAGTATATTAAATGTCCATTTAAAAAAAAAGAAATACAAAAATTAGGATTACCTCAAATCTGTTCCCTGAACTGTATTCTCTTACTATCCTTTGTTTGCACAGTCTTGTGCTACCTTTGCAAATATACATTTTTTTCCTCCAAACTCATGTGTAGCACAGCATCTGCAACGTATTCTTCAAATGCGAGATTTTGGTACTACCGACACAATGGTCTAAAACACATGTATTGAGGTATTTTCTATATAACATGTACTTGATTAACACTCAGCATATACTAAATTGGTGAAAGAAATTCCCTTTAAAAAAAGATATATTTCTTAATAGCAAATTATTATTACATATTTCTCCGTAAAACATACTCGCAGGCAACTGCTCCTTCTAGGTCAATGTAAATGTTTCTGTGTAAAACAATGGAAAATAAAGACGACAATTCAGGAATTTGTCACTTTGTTGTTTTTACTTTTGCCTTCTTCTAAGAATGCTCTTCTACTTATTAAAACTTTTCATGAGAACACTTATATACTGTGTTAATACTAAGTTTCAAATGTCTTACTGCTTGTTGAAAAGACATACTTGTAGACAAAGTCATAATACTATGATAGCAAAAATACAGCTTTATGGGTGGAAAAACTACAAATAGATTACTCTCTTATTTAGTATTTACAACTTTCATTAAATTTACACTTTAAATTTATTTGTAGCAGGTGTTTCAGCAAAACATAGTTTCACTTTTGTCAAAGCTTCCTTATGTCTACCTAGAAAAAAAAAAGAAAACTTTCAAACTAAAAATGAGGATTTCTGACAGATAGGAGAAAACGACAACAGGAAGCTAATGCAAAGTTCTGTGATAGCATAAACACAAGCACGAGCTGACAACTGTGCCAATGCATTTCACATACATGCTGACACAAATTATTTGCACTTACTTTATGTGGTTTATACAAAATATTTTTAAAAAAATTAGAAAGATGCTATTTTGAATTTCTGGCTTTGGAATTCAGATATTCACAATAAAGAGTTAATTAATCTTATTTTTCAAGTAAGGTGTTATTTTGGAAACAAATAACTGAACAGCTGATACTAGCGTGCACATTTAATTTCCTATTAAGGCTATTGATAGATTTAAGCTGGCTAAGGAAAAAAAGTCATCTTCCTCTGAAGAGTAGATGATACATCACGAGCTCAAAATGTTGCTCAAGTATAAAGATATTAAAAAAATTTTTTTGTTCACTTGTGTTTAAAAAAGTGAGCTCTAGAAAAGAACAATGCCTCAGCTGACAATAAATTTTCCAGATGTCTTTTCCTCTCACTCACCAAGATCAACCACCTCTCAGGTATCACCTGCAACTTTTTATGGAGGTAGGTTTATCTGAAAACAGGTAAGTGGCAGTCCTAAATAAGCAGTCTGAAAGAGATCATCATTAGTACAAATCCTGCCTAAGCATTCCTCAAACTCCCTGAGCTTGCCATTGTCTCAGATGCTACACGGATGTAATCAGGTGCACATCTGTTGCTACCTCTTCCTGCTGTAATATCACTGGCCAACTATTGCATCATCTGAAAAACTGAAATCCAGGAACTGGCATATCTTACAATTCACCTTTATTATAACTAAAGAGAAAGCACCAATATTTTCTTAAAGCTACTTAACATTTTTCTCCTCTAGAATCACTGCTAATATTTCTGAGTTAGACTGCTGATTCAATGTTATTATGTAACAATCGACAAAGACAAATTTGTGACAGAGACATTTAGCTATATAGATTTGCATTCATATAATCACATCTAATTATTTTTTATGTTTTTACACAGAGACTGTGTTTTATGCTAGAATAGAACAGAGGTCAACCGATCAAGAGAGTAGAGAGGTTCTCCAAATATTACCAAGAAAGTGGAAGCTACCTCAATGTCTTCATCTAACATTGAAAGAAATTTCTGCCCCACAGTCAAAAAAAGGAACAAAGCCTTCTTACATAGCACTATATTGAGTGAACGGGAGATATTACAAATACCAGCTGTTGACATGCTCAGTTCAAAACAGATAGAGACAGTGCATACATCAGTGTGACGCAATTAGCCACTGCAGCATGCTCTAACTGAGCTGAGAACCACACTAGTTTCCAACACAGCAGATTAACAGATCAAGGAACAATGGCTTCACCTGAAGCCGATAAGGATCTTGGCTGCCAGAGGTGAAAACTTATCCAGGTATCCAGCTGTAACGGCCTTTTGCCAATGTAGTTTTATTTTAACTCCTGACATAATAAAAGGATTTTATTCTGACATAATAAAAGCTTCTAACATTAGGAAATGATTGTTTAAAAATGGCTAGGTTCACACAAAGCAATATAGGAAAACCCTTGATTCAGTACAATGGCAGTTAGCATATCTATCAGCTTAGTCTGTTTTATGCTGTCTTGTCCTTTCCTGCCATACAGAACTACGAGCACATGAAAAACTACCTCATATCAACAGCAACTCTTATTTCCCCAGCTGCTTTTTCAAAATGTGTTTACCCAATAACTACTACTCTTAGTTGAAAACTACATGTCCTGTCTATGTCGGAACACACATGTACTGTGTTCTGACCGCTGAGATTTTGTCTCTATGCAGCAACAGTCACGTGATACGCCGAGATGTAAAACATTGCTGGGTCTCACAACCATCTCACTTTTTAACCCAGTAAACACTTTGCTCTAAATCAAACATAACCTGAATCATATTCTTGCATGAGGTGGTTATGAACTTTGTTGACTCTTAGTAAGCTTCTTACAGAAGCCAGCTGCAATCTGGAAAAGGTGGTCTACCTTTGGGACTGACTGGTAATTTGAAGGCCAATTGCCTGAGCTCTACTGGGTGTATAAACTGTTACTTAAATACATTCCAAGATGTTGCCCTTCAGAATGAAAATCCTTTTCATTTCCTGTGTATAACTGTAATATGAACACTTTTTAAATAAAGTTCCACGACAGGACTTACAAATACTGTCTCCCTTCAGATCTGCATCCTAATTTGCCTTTAAAACTATTATCTCAGCTTCTGCTTACCCTTGTTTCTCTCCCATTTACACTAAATTGTTTGAAAGAGAGACAAAATACGAGGCAGCTGTTT